CCCCAAAACCCCAAAACCCCAAAACCCCATAAATATTCAAAAGAAATGAAAGAATTAATAATAATATAAATATGAGACTTCCAAATACACAAGTTGGTGAAAACTCTAACTCTACACTCTCTAAAAAGACTATCAACACCACCTTTGACGGAATGAAGTAATTTTTCGCTTACTTATTGATGAATTAACTAATAAAACAATTTCTTGGTTTATAAGGAATGCTCACTAAACTTACCAGTACAAATTCTTATTTATGTACGAATTAACTCCTTCACTTTCTAAATTTATTAGGTTTTTTCTTATTTCAAACAGAGTTTAGCTTATCATCTTTATAGGCTAAGAAAAAGTTATAAATTACAAAATGGACAAGCAATAAGAAAAGTTTGAGTGCCAAGAAAACTCACTTGTGATGATTCTGAGAAAGTAAGTAAAAAGTGGTTTTTAACATCAGGAATTAAAATTCTTAATTTTTGGTGATTCGTTTAAAATTCATGAAACAACCCTCAGGTTGTTTCATTACTCTCTCTGTATAATTTCTAATATCTTTATGAAGCAGCAACTTAACCAAAAATTAAAAATGAATCAAACCATGTGTGTGACAAAGAACTCTAAAAATATCCAGGTAAACTTTTATTTTCAAAAAGTGAGGCTTTAATCCCGTTTGATGGAAATTTAATGTTTAATAGAACCTAAAGAGCCAGTGCAAGAAAAAGTTTACTTTTAACATGAAGAAGCTTCTAAAAGAAGAAAGGAAAAAGTTTTATGCAAAGAAATCACATGAGACAGTTGGAAGCTCTTCTCGATGCCGTAAAATCTCCCAGTTTGGCAAAAAACAAAAAACTTTGAAAAAGTTCGTCATATGTTTAAAGTTGATAATTATAAAAATCTTTTCAATTGCATTAGCTTCTAATGAGAAATTTTCACAAAGGGAATAAAATCTTGCAAAGTTTTGAAAAATATTAATATCATATTTAGAGGGACACTTACTCGAGGAAGAACCACAGGAAAGAATTCAACTAAAAATAATATTCCTAGAAAGTTCATGATGAGAAATTCGTCAAAACACAATTATAGCGATGAGCCTGTTATGCCTCTTGAAGTTGAGAATAAACCTAGAAGATTCCTTAGCCCAGTACCTGGAAAAAGAAGTGTTTTGCACAGCTCAGAAGCACAGAGTCCAAACTTATGTGAAATGAGGTACTATAATGGAGTTCTAGTATCTGCAAAAGGATTTACTTTGTACCTTAACAAAGAGATCTCTTCTCCTACCACTCCAATCCCTGATAGGAGGAAAATTTCTCAACTGGGCAAAAGGATGAATATGTATACTTTTTCACCTACTTCTGACGATCGTAAACCTAACCTTCCATCACTACCTGAAAATTTTAAATGAGGATTTTCCCCTAAGATAAGAATTCCAGAAGCACGAAGAAATATCAGTAGCCCATTTCAGAAACAGTCTCCTTTTAATCTGACTGTTAAAGCTTCGTCTCAGAGGAATAGCCCCATTCTAAGAGGTAGATTAAGAAGAATGCAGCATGCTAACTTTTCAAGGTAAAAAGTTTTATAACTTGTTATAGTTATGCTAATTCAGTTATGATTGGTTCCCAAAACACAGAGAGCACTCCTTCAAAATTCTCAAGGTAAATTTATCAGAATTTTCATACTTCCTTAGCATCCCCTTTTTTGTAATGAATGCAATTTATAATAGGAAAAGTCCAAAGGAAATCCATGAGAAGCTGAACCAAATAATACAACAATGCGATTCATAAACAGTGCTTATAGTACTGAAAACTGGTATTTATTACTACTAAAAGGTCCTTTTGTCCCTTTTCATAAAGAGTTAGTCTTCCTCTCTTCTAGTTCTTAACGCGTTGGCAAGATTATGGGGTCATTACCAGTATGTTTCAATTTCAATTTTGAGATCCTAAGTTGGGGTTTTGGGGTTTTGGGGTTTTGGGGTTTTGGGGTTTTGGGGTTTTGGGGTTTTGGGG